AATATACTTTGTTCTTTACATACTGTATGTAGTTGATGTACACAGTACGCATGTCTTCGCAGCTCGCCAGCACCAATCCTGTGTGCACCTAGCACTCACCAGCATATGATTGTGCAGCAGCTGCACTGCCGGCACCAACAGCACCAGCACAAGCTCCGGGTATTGAAATATCAAAATATTGTGTTTTCTATGATGGTATATGGTTCTATTTTTGCAACATATGCAAAAACACATTTCAAAGTATAATGTATCATGTTTACTTTATACTAGATTATACTATATTATGTCGGTGCATCCTGGTTTACGGTTTAGTCCTATATGTACTAGACATATAGCTGTTTTCTCGCCTGGTCGATGTTTCTGAAGCTGGTGTTTGCTGGCATGAGTAGTGAAATGTGGTCAGGCAGCATATTCGGGCGGAGCTTCGCAATGAAGAGGCAATTGTTGAACTGCTTAATTTACACCGTGAACGATTGACACCTTTTCTTGGGGGTGAGGAGACCAGAGTGGGATATGTCGACTTTATTTTTGACGTCGTACAACCAGGCCTGGCCTGGTTTTTGATAAGCTTGAACATCATAACTGCATTGTTTCAGTGCCGGCTGAGCCGCCTAGGGGAAGATGTCCATGATGATCCATCCATAAGGCGTTTTTGCAAAAATATTTCTGGTTGAGTGTCGCGTTCCCAAGCACTTTCTACTAATTCGGAAACATCATGAGTCATCAAGTTCCTTCTCGTACCAGTCCCTTCAAGAACTTGCAAGGACAGAGAATGGGAAGGAAATGCAGGACATGCAGGCAATTAAGGCACAAAGAGTCCATAGCTGGCCGGTGTGATCAGATGACATCGCAACACTGAGATCTTACGTAAGTATCAGTTCTGAATGCCGCAGGTGAGTTCTGGCCTATTCGGCAAAGAGTGGGAAACATCCGGCACGTTTCACGTAAGCAACTCACAACCAATCATCAAGACATTAGTACTCGTTATAATTAGCCGCTTGCTTCAGCAAGAACTGCGGATTGTGCGGCAAAGGTGTCAGTCGCGGCCTTTGGACTGCGGACGTCGCAGTCTGAGCGAGCCAGCGAGCATCGAGGGATAAAGGACTCCCATTCTTGGATTGATTAGTTATGAATTATGACCAGGAAGGTCCAACCTGCTTTCGGACCGTTCTGCCCCAGGCGATCACCAGTTCTGAGAGTTTATTCTGCCCACGGACGCCACGAATGCAATATGCCTGGAACTTGGAAAGACTAGTTTTTCCAGAGGCTAGTAACCTGATACCTCATCGCGTGGATTTTTGGTGATGCCTTTGGCTGCGGTTTTGGGCTGGAGCGGCCTTCCTGTTTCCTCTGCTGCTTCAAAGCCTGCACAGGCTTTCTTGCTCCACCCAGACACATGAGCTTTGGCGGCCATGCTTGGCTTTTTGAGGCTTGAACCTCTTATGCTCATGGCTTCTTGTATTATATGGACTTGCGGAATCTCACAATATATAGACTTGTCAACTTTGGGTGATGTCTTTGGAGAGCTGAACGACAGTCCTGCTTCGCGCCCTCTGCCTTGTCTTTTTCGTGCCGGTCCTGCCAACTCGACATCAAGTGCTCGCTCGATCTTCCTCGGACCCTATCCTCTTCTGAATTGCAGAGGCTGGCAGCTTGTGCTCCTAGTGTTCTGCAGCAGAATCAGAATCTGCGATGCCATCCCAGTGCCTCTGAGGGGCGAACATGAGTGGCTGCGACTGAGGGCTGAAGAAGAGAATAGAAGAACCCCTGTTTCCTCTACTGTAACCCCTTGAGGTCAAAGTTTGCACGCATAGCAGGAGTTCAGAGAGCTCTCAAGCTCTCCGAACTGAAAGCTTGTGGTCTCCCTGCTCTTGGCTGTTTCATGCAGTTGAAGGTGTGGGGTTGGATGGCCTTCTTCAAGCTGGACATGAGCCTTTTGTGTTATATATTTCTGTCTGTTCAAAAGTATGTGTGACTGTCAGCTCCTGCTGGCGTTCTAGATGGCCCAAAATGTTGCAAAAGCATGCAAGAGAAACAGCGACTCCTTTGCCACGCTCGTCCGGACAACCATACCTTTCTTTTCGGAGGTGCACTGCTCTGTTTTCTTGCAGGCTCAGGGCTTGTAGTGTCCCTTTCTTTCGGGTGAGTTCCGCTTTACCCCACAAACGAAATTCCTTAGGGCCAACCGTTTACTTATGCAATTTCCATTTGTTTGCTTTCTGTATTTTGTTCGGAAGTCTGATGTGCATAAAGAACGGCCTAGGTCTGCACCTCTTGACGGTAATGATGAGTGGCTGATCGAATTTTCCCAAGCACTCCCGGCCAGGTGCTGAGACTTTTGCATGGGACACAGTGTGAATTTTGTATGCGCACTCCAACAAAGACTGAGGTTGCTATTTCGCAAGCCCGCCAGAAAGTCCGGATTGAGGTTTGGAGTGATGGTACCTTAGCTTCCCTAAACGTGCAATTGACAGTTTTTGCATTTCCACTGAGGAAAACAACTTGCTTCAGACGCTCCATGCCCAAGATAGGCTGATTGGGGAGGCTCAAACCTGCAGTTTTGAGGGTTTCAACACTGCCACCTTGTAAAAATTGGGTCCGTAGAGACAACACCCCTTTGAAGGGGTTTTGAAGCCTAATCCTGGTTTCGCGTTTCGGAGTGGGACATGAGCTGTCATGTCAAGCTTGGTCTCTACTTGAAAGCTTCCAAATCGCTGTCGCAGTTTCACGCACCAATAAAGCTTGAGCAGAGTCTCTTCTAAAGTGCAGATCACTGTTGCGGTTGTCTGGATTTTGTGTGGCCTTCATACTGGTGGATATATACAGCTTTGCAGATCAGATTTGCCTGTGCCAAGCCAATTTGTCATGAAAGGTAGCCCTCAGGGGTTACCTTGAGTTTGTCTTGCGAAGCAAGTGGTGGCTCCTCCGGGTCTATATAATATATAGTTGCAACCCCCCCATCCGAATTGAGTTCTCAATACAACGCCCCCCCTCGAAGTGTTCGGATCATCGGCAACTTGGAACACGAATCAGCAAATTATCGGATCGATGTCTCGTCGTCTCGATCATCGGCCACTCAACGAAGCGATCCTTTTGCCGATTTCATCGGGTCTGCAACGCTCGAAGCTCAAGCAGCTCACGGTTCAGATCAATGGACCATTGGGTTAACTCATCTGACCAATCGGATCTGCAGCGGATCTAGAGCCATCCGATCAGCTCATCATCGGTTCAACAGTTGAACGGATCATGTGGAACATCAGATCAGCCGCACCTCTGATCGTACTCGGATCATCTATTACTTGTGGATCCTCGGCAACACTCTGGGATTGAATTCCTTTAGGTTACAATGCCTGCAAACCCCTTGTATTGATGATTCATGCTCGTTGAAGGCTGAAGGTGGATTTGATCTGCAGGGGATCATCGGACCTGCAACAGACGGATCATTGGATCAGCGACGCTTGGATCAGTAAGAAGGCCCACCCGACAACAAACGTTGTTATCGTGCATCATGCATCCTCTTGAAGTTGGTTCCCATGTGTCCATCGCGCGAAGCATGGGGCGTCGTTATGTTCGCGACGCTGCGCATCGGGTATCGCCCGACAGGTTGCATGTATGCGTATGTACATATATATATATATAGAATATAAATGTGTGGCTCAAGCCTGGCTCAAGGTTTTGGCTCAAGCGTCACGACCGCCCGCCTGGGCACTTCACGAGAACGAGCTCGACGCTTTTGAGACCAAGGCCGGTGTCCTCTGCAGGCACTTTGTCATCACGATGACCATCAGCTGGGGCAGACGATATCAGGTTTGCCGCAACAGCTCATGCGGCAATTGGATATGGGACGACAAGGTCTGTGAAGGATTTGTGTGCCGCAGGTGTGGTCAGAGCTGGTCTAGGCCTGCGCAGGAATTCTCCACCAAGAAGTCCCCATCACCGAGACGGTCCGGGCCTTGTCAGAAGCCTTTGACTCCTCCTCCAGGCTTAGGGGGTACCAAAGGTGGAAGACAACAGCATGTTCACAAGGCCACCACCGACCTTCTAACAGCATCGTGGGCATCTTTGGACCCTAAGCTGCAGCACCAACTTGAGCAACTGGGCATCAAGCCTCCCAATCCGACTCCTGAACCGGACTTGACCGATGTCCTCAAGGAGAACTTGTCTCAGCTACCCACGGTGGTCAAGGACCTTGTTGAGAAGATCACTCGACCACCACCAGAGACAGAGCGAGACATGGCTCAAAAGCTCAAAGCCCAAGTTTCCACCCTTCGTGACCTGTCTCATCGCAAGCAGGTTTTGCAGCAGAAGTTGGATCAGGCAAAGAAAACCTATGGAGATATGCTGGAAGAGATGAAGGGCATTCAGACCAAGCTGGAGGCAGAGCAAGGTGCTCTCAATACCACCAGCTCCGCATACATGGCCCTCGCGAACACCTCCAAACCGGTGGAAGGGCTACAGCCTGAGGCGATGGATGACACTGTGCCTGAGGCAGTAGCGGGGTTCATTACCACCCTAGGGGTCAATTTGACCGATGACCAGAAGGCCCAGCTCAACACGATGCTGAAACGGCCTCAATCTGACCTCAGTGAAGAAGAAACGCAGCGGCGCCGCACTGCCGCCATGGAGGTCCAGACATGTGGGGAACCCAACCTCTTGGGGCTTGAGCCCACCTGCCATTGGATCTCGCTTTTCGGGGTTTGCTGACTTTTGCAGTCAGCCTCATGGGGTTTTGTCGCCGAGTTGCAGGGAACGAGTCAACTCACTTCGACGTTCTGATTTTGAAGGCTCGAGGTTCTTCCAAGGCGGCCGTTTATGGTCCGTGGAGAACCGAGCCTGGTATCTTCAAAGTCAAAGGTGGAGCTGGCCTTGACGAAGGAACTGATCTGAGCAACCAGCCTGACCCAGGGGCACCGTGTTCTTCTACCTCAGTGCGGACCTGCCCAGGTACCGTAACCAACGGGACCCCTCAGGCCAGGCTGGCTAGGCTCACGGTGGACATCATGGAGGACGACAATCCCTCCTTGACGGAGGAAGTTTTGACACCCGGTCAACGAGCTCTTTATGATCTTTGCAAGCAAGATCTCTTCTCCTCCTGCCTTGCCTATGAACAAGGCTGGAACAGAGTTCAAGGACAGCAGTTTCTAGTTGATTTGAAGCGCATGGAAAATGTCTTACACAAGATACTGGCGGCACCCGGGACCTCTCCCACTTTGCCCATCAATGTCTATGTCATTGGTCAAGCCCTCACCAGCCGGCTGACCAACCCTGGCAATTTGTGTTACGGCAATGCTGCTTTCCGATGTTGGAGTTGGGCAGGTGCTCATGCAGAAGATCAGATTCTGGCATGGGGTCGAACCCATGACGCGGTCAGGACTTTCCTGGCCAGCAATGAACAGGTCTCCCTCTTGGACCTCGAGACTTTGCGGCCAATCTGGCAGCATTTCCATGCTGATCAGCAAGAAGATGTCGGCGACTTTGTCGGTCACCTCACCAGTTTTGCGGGCAGCACCTTTTATGGGGGCAAGTTCTTTCATGTCACCCAAACAGGGATTCTGACGGAGCGTGAACAGATCCCCTTGAACATGATGTGTCCAGAAGGCCCTCAGTCGATCTCCCTGGATGAGATCATCAATCAATGGGCTGACGAAGAGGGAGGTCAATACCTCTATGGAGCCCCAGGCGGTCTCATCATTCACTTGCAGCGATCCGCTCTACTCCATGGAATCTGGACCAAGCACCAAAGAGCTGTGGAGATACCTACTAGAGTTTCTATCCCCTTCTCTGAGGATGGAATCCATGTCCACAGCGCCACTTACACAGTTGTCAGTCTTGTTTTGCACAAAGGGCAAAGCCACGAAGCTGGACACTATGTGGCTATCCACGCCCTGGACAATGCCTACTGGTATGCAGATGACGAGTCATATCCGGTCCCCATCGAGCACCTCACTGATCTCCACCTCACTGAGATCGTTCAAGTTTGGCTTGCTTTTGAATGCAATGGGGAACTAGTTCCGGACACCATCGAAGCACTAGTTCCAAGCCAGGCCAAGAGGGCCAAGCGCTACTCGGAGGTCTTGCACTTCGTTTTTGCCAACGTGACCTCTTTTGGACGGCGAGTTCAAGATTGGCTTTGGACCAAAGGGGAGCACATCATCCTCTTGCAGGAAACTCATTTGGGACAGAAGAAGCTTGCCGAAGCGCAACAGTACTTCAGCACCCGAGGATGGAAGACTCATGGAGTGCCTGCAGAACCCACAGGCCGAGGGGGCACCGCGGGAGGTTTCCTTGTTCTTCATGGCACGAGACATCTCACGCACCAGGCCGGTTTTATGTCAAGGAGGGCAATGGATGGCAAGCCATCGGGCTCCAACGACAAGGGATCACCTTTTTCCTCATCCAGCTCTACTTGAGGACAGGGGAGACCTTACAACCCCCACTCAATGCTGACATCTTGAGCCAACTCTTGCATTTCCTGGAGCAACTGCATGCGCCTTTCATTGTGGGGGGTGACTGGCAGAACGAACCAGACGCAGTTGCGGCCACTGTCATTCAGAGTAAGTTTAAAGCTCAGGTTCTTAGCGCATCCGGGCCAACCACTCTTCAGGGCTCCACCATTGACTTTGTCTTGGCCTCGCAGTCCATCGCAGGTCATCTCACGGTGAGGGCGGATTGGGATGTGCCCTGGAAACCACATTGTGGCATATGCGTTGAATTCAACTGTGAACAGTCCGCTGTTGCCGTTCAACAACTGCAGCGCTTCCCACCGATAGGTCGCACTTTCCAACTCCCTGGCAACTGGAGCAGCTTTTGGGAAGATGACGGCCCCTTCCACATCATGGGCCAGCAGATCACTGGCATTGGGTCAGATTTTGCTCGCTGGGCAACACAAACTGAGAAGTACCTCACTCAGTTGCTTCATCATCCTACGACTGGTCGGGGCTCGCGCATCAATCTTTATCAGGCACCACTTGTGGACCAAGGGAGATCCACCACCTGGCGAAAAGGACACTTGGCCTACTGGGAAAAGATGAAAGTAAGGATCAATGTGGTGCACCACTCTCACAACACCCGGGTGGGCCATGATCTGGTTCACATGCTCGAGGCCCTCCATCTCCATGCTTCCGAGACTATGAGTCAGGACCTTTTCAAGGCCCTCCTTGGACATTGGATTCAACATCCTGAAAATGAACCCACCGAACTCCGACGTCTCATAGCCGAGGAGGAGCAGGAAGCACACAAACGCCTCTTCAGCAGCACCAATGATGAATACAAGATTTGGTTGGAGAAGGCCCATGAGAAAGGTTTGCGAGGGCTCTTCCGCAGTCTACATCAACGAGACATTCCTTGGGAAAGGCCCTTTCAGCATCTTCCAGCAGATCAACGTCTCCATGCCAGAGAAGCCCAATGGGGAGACATTTGGCAACCCCGCCCAGATCCACGGCCTCTTCGCTCTTGGGATCTTTTGCATCAGGCTGCCATAGCTCAAGCGGAACAGCTCCCACCCTTTCAGTCCTATCATCTACAGCAACTGCTTCGGAAGCTTCCGCATAAAGCGGCGGGCCCGGATGGAATCTCCTATGACTTCCTCAAACATTTGCCCTACCCGGCGGTGGAGAAACTCGCTGAACTGCTCACCAACATGGAACGGGAAGGTGAATTAGCCGTTCAACTCAGAGCCACCAACATTGTGCTCATTCCCAAGAACAGCAGGGTCGAACGTCCCATTGCTTTGACCAGCTGCCTCTATCGTGTTTGGTGCTCCTGCAGGAAAGCGGATCTTCAACGATGGCAGCTCACTCTGGATGACACTCTCCCTTGGGACCAAGCGAGACCTGGCAAAGATTGCCTCAGCATTGCAATTGGTCGCATGCTGCGTGCAGAGATTGCAAAACACCAGGGCATTCACACGATTACATGCTTAGCCGACCTCACCTGCTTCTACGATCACGTCGATCTGGATCAGATCATTGAGCCCGCCCGGGAACTGGGTTACCCTCCTTTACATCTCAAGTTTGCCTTGGACCTTTATCGAGGGCCCAGAACCATTCAAGCCGAAGGCATCAATGGAGCTCCTCGCCATTATGAAAAAGGCATTCTTCAGGGCTGCCCTCAGGCTCCAGCAATCTCCAAGCTCATCCTCTACCGACCTCTCAGGGCTCTGGTTCAAGAACATCCGGCTGTAGCTCTGCAAACTTGGGTCGATGACGTCAGCTATGACATTCATAGCCGGGATGCAAACTTCGCAGCCAGAGAAGCCATTGGAGCTTTCCGGACTTTCAAGAGGCAGCTGGAACAGGCAGGGCTGCGGCTGAACACCGACAAGACCGGGTTCCTCACCAGCTCCACAGAGGCCGCAAAGGCTCTGAAAGCCCTGCTCCAAGAAGGGGACCCTGAGCACTACGATGTTCTTCGAGATCTTGGAGTTGATGCAACGGCCAGTAGAAGACGTCGTGTCACCCAGATCAAGAAACGTTTCCTCAAAGGCAAGGGCCGGATCGGCATCATGCACCGACTTCGCATTGCTCAGGGCATCCGCTATCGGCTACACAAAGGTGCTATCCATCCAGTCATGTCCTGGGGGGCAGATCCAGGCGATTCGATTGTGCTCCAACATCTGCACACCATTTGGAAGGTTTATCATGGCTTTGATGAGAGCAAGCAGCATCTCTTCTGGACGAGCTGGAACACTGCATTGGGTGCGCTTCAGAAAGCCAAATACCGCTGGCAGGTCGTCTCAGGGCCGCTCCAAGCTCTTCAGGCCTATCTGCTTGACTTTGACTTCGACATCTCCAATGGGCAGAAGTGGAAGAGAACTGGATACGGGGGCATTCCGGATTGTGTCTTGTGCTTGACAGATCCATGGCCCCTCGTGCATCACAAGATGACTCAGGAATTCCGGTGGCAACGACTTCTTCGTTTGACCAGGTACGAGGGTTGCCACGATTTGGAGAGACCCTTAGATTGGATGATCAGCTCTCACATCCAGCGGACTACCAGTGACTCCATCGCCACTGGTCTCAGAGCCTTTCACCAAGGAGTCATGCATGGGGTCCAAGGTCATTGTCCCCTTTGTGGTGATGAGTTGAGCTTCATTCATCTCTTGTGGCAGTGCTCCTTTTGGAAAGGGAGAGTGAAGGATTTGTCTTCGGAGTGGGCAAGCCGTTTGACAGCTGGCACAGATCCTGAGTTGTGGCAACGTGGGCTGGTTCAGCAGATCTTCTATGAGCCCGAGGAAGGTGTTGCGACCATTGAAGGCACCGGCTTATGGCAAGATCTTGGTCAACTTCGTCTCAACAAAGGGCGCATTTGTTCCATTGCCACGGCCCAGACTTGTGGGGACAAGAGGCACAAGCGATTCGCCTTTGCAATTTGTGCTCATTTGACCTCCAACCGGCAACGGGTAGCCTCCATCACTGGCATCTGTCCTGGACCGGCCACTCGGCAAAGGGCTATTTTCTTTGCCATGAAACAATTGGCTCTTCATGTCATGGAGAAAACTCCGGTTGCTTTGTATGATGGGCGAGCCTGGAAGAACTGGAAACCCCATGTTGCCTTCGAGACCTTCCCTGACCTTTTCACTGGCTTGGAGTTTGAAGATTTTGACCATGTCTGGCCACTCTTGTTTTCCAAGAAGGAACTGGAGCAGAATGAGATGAGACGCATCACGCAGGCTGACACTCAGAAGTTGGCTGACCGGACTGGAAAACTCTTTGAACCCACAGAGATTCTGGATCTTCAGTCACATGTCGATGATGATGCCCATGCCATCCTGCTCAGTGCCGGGGAGCGGATGAGTATCTTGATCAAGGACAAATCTCACTTCATCCACCGCAAGGAGGAACAAATTCAGCACAAGATCCCGCTCATTCAGCAAAAACGAGAAATCCTCACAGATCTCCTGGGCAAGGAGTCCAAGGCTGGACATCAGTGGGAAGCTTTCAGAAGTGGCATTCAGTGCAAGGTTTGCCGGCTCCGGCTCCACAGCAAGAGCTTGCTGTCCGAATTGAAGGAGGCTGAGGACAAACCATGCCAACAGGAGGCCAAGCCAGCTCCTGTCAAGCAGACACGCATGGAGATGATCCATGCCTTAGTGGCATCACAGCAGGAGCCTCAGAAAGGCGTGCACCACTTGCAGCTGGATCGAGCGTACCTACGCTGCACAGTCTGCAAAAGCTACATCTTAGCCAGGTGCAATGAGGAAGCCTTCACCAGATTTGTGGGCGAGCCTTGTTACTGTGGCCCTCTTGAACCCAGTCTTTGGCATGGTCACGAATCTCACACCGTCGAACGACGAGGCAGCACCATCGAGTGCACCAGGTGCAAAGCTCGCTCCAAGATCACCAACGGAGAGGTGACGCTCACTTCCCGTCTTCGCGCAAGGTGCGTGTACATGAAGCACCGAGACATCCGACAAATGTTTGGATGAGCCTGCAGACACAAAAAGGCGCGCCAAAAAAAAACAATATAAATGTGTGCGTGGGGGGGGAGACGTTGTCGTTTGCTTTTCACACACTTTTATTCTTGGCGACCTTTATATTGCGGGTTGCCCTTTCACCCAGAGTTCCACCACAGCACTGAACATTTCAATGAACGTTGGAGAAGTGTTGGAACTTTCCAATACAGAGCGTTTTTTTTGATCTGGTTCGCGCAGACAATTGAAACCAATCCTTGTGCGGTACAAATTGTAGACCAGACCACTCAAACAAAACCAGTCCTATATAGATTCTTCATTTTTCCACTTGTGTTCTTTTTTCCCCAATAGCCATGCTATGGGGTCTTGCAAAACTAATAGGCGGACGGGCGCCGTCGGGTCACCGTCAGAGCTAGTGGGCGGATGGTGTCCCGGTCATGTTTTGATGGCGCCCGGGTCATGTGATGCTGGTGTCCCGGTCATGTTTTGATGGTGTCCCGATCATGTTTTGATTGTGACCCAGTCATGTTGTGATGGTGTCCCGGTCATGTTTTGATGGTGTCCCGGTCATGTTTTGATGGTGTCCCGGTCATGTTGTGATGGTGTCCCGGTCATGTTTTGAAGGTGTCCCGGTCATGTTGTGA